AAAAATCAAAATCTGGAGCTGCTTTGCTATCTATGATGCAAAATCCAGAAATCAAAGCATATCTTTTGTTTTTTGAGTATATTCTTGATGCTTTTAACAAATTCAATGCGTTTTTTCAAGCTGAAGAAACAAAAGTTTATTTACTACAGTCAGCTGCGGAAAATTTTTTGAAAACAATCCTTCGTAATGTAGTAAAAACTCCGTTATTAAAGTTTATTGGGATGGGTGTAATTGATGCTTTATTCGCGTGCCATCGTATATCTCCTGATCAAGTTATGGTCGGACACGATTGCCAAGACCTTCTTGATCGATTGAATAAAGGTCAAAGTGAAATTGTCAAATCAGTGTACGCCAGTTGTTTGTCATTCTACAACATCGCTGCTAAAGAAATTCGTCGGAGACTTTTTGTCAAAGAGGATTTTCTGAGTAAATTAAGGATTTTTCATCCGAAATTTGCTCTGCAGCAAGAAGACGAGAAGAACAGACCAAACAACTCCGTTATTGAGGAGGTTCTTCTTGTTGCCAAACGATTAGGCGAATTTAATGAGGAGATGTTGCGAAAAGAATGTAAATCTTTAGTTCTGGATTTTACATCAGAGCTGAAGGCACATATAATCAGTTTAAATTTTGATAATGCCTGGAAAACAATAATGGCAACTAAAGACGCGGATGACAAATTTAAATATCCCATGGTTACAAAATTAGTAAATGCAATTCGATCTCTTCCAAATTCTAATACTGATGCCGAAAGAGTGTTTTCCATGCTGACAGATGTAAAAACGAAGAAACTTAATTGACTTTCTCCGAGTCACGTTCAAGGTATATGCGTATTTAAATCATGTCTGAGGGCGGGAGGAGAAACGGCTCGAACCATGACAGTTGATGCTCGACATTTAGCTTTCATGTCCTCTGAGAATTTTCGTCAAACAAACGAAACAAATAATGCATGTTATTTGCGTCTGTTTGCTGGTGATAAAGGTCCCTCTACATCCTCGGATTTATAATTGAGTCTCTCATAAGCCATACTTATTGTGGAAGAGTTTACGAACTTCCGAATATTTTAAAGTGCCGCAGAGGCATGTTAGATTGATAGAAAACGTTCGCTTTCCAGTTTAGCTTTAGAGAGGCTCAGACATAGCTTGGGTTGCTTGGTGACTGTAATATTGCTTTTTGTAATGCATGTATATATGTTTTTGCTTTTTGTACTCTTTTGCATTTTATTTTTCTTGCAAGTTGTCATGAAATTTGTTTACACGTTATGGATCGACAAGATATTTCACGTCGGTCTCTAATTTGCTGCTCAAATTATTCGTATTTTCGTATGTGTTTGATGAGTGTAAATACTAATAAAATTCTTTACTATAATCGATATTTTCTTTAAAGAAAATGAATTCTAAATTAGCCAAAGATTCTGTCATTAAAAAATAATGTAGTTACGAAGTTTTTACATGTGATACATACACTTAAAAGTTTATATATTTTTTTTCTATTCTGTTTCTTTGCAGAAATAGATTAATTTTATTACATAATAATAATCCCGATTCAATATAATAATTTAAAAATAAATGATACACAAATCTATATTATCAGCATAAAAATATGAGGAAAATACTGTAAATTATATAATGTAAAAGAATATTTCTTCATTATAACGAGTAAATGATTTTAAACGACAGAAGTAATATTTTTTAAATATATACGAGAACGTTTTTCTATGTTACCAACTAAAAGCATTTTTTAATTTATATATTTATTATTAAAAAAATCGTCATATTCAATGACATACCGCATACCGGTGAACTATCGACAGTCGAAAAAAGATACGTTTCTTATTGACCAACACTTACTAAAAATTAAGCTGTCGCCACTTCGTAACATTTACCGACAGTGCTAATCAATAACTATCCCAGAAACAACTCGCGCGCATTTGAATCAGCGCAGCTTGCAATTCTCACGAATTCAAATTTCTCGCAACCCGCCATTTTGCAAGTAGGAAATTTTATGCTTGAGTCGCCGACAAATTCGAGATACTACAAATAACATATCTTTTATTTTACAGATATATTGAGCATCGCGACATTGCAATATTGCGAGCACAACGTTTAATCCGTTATGCCCAAATTGATAAAAGACAGAAACGGATAATTCACTCACCGATAACTCCTACGACGAGCCGGCCGTCATGACGAAACTGGAGGAGACGCAGGGAGAAGATGCCGGGACGAACGCGTCTGCCCACGATTATTGTAAAGCGATAATTCTTCACAAACAAATGTAAAGAAATGTATTCAATAATTTCTCAGGTTTTGGCCAGACGACGCTGTTTTGCGTCATCCATTCTCAATTCAGTCCTCTAATGCAATCTCACACGATGTAGTGTTCACGTCTCGACACAGAATGTATCCTAGATCCGAAAGTTTCCCCGGAGTATTATGCGGGGTTTCTCAGTCCAACTGTAAAGAGTGTAAAGTGCAAAAATCAATATTTTTCTTTGATGCAAAGTTACATTGGTTTTTAACTCAAAGCCACGCTTCGCAATGTACTGCGAATGTCACCACTTGTTTGGATTTCATATTCGTTGTATTTAGTTTTAATTGGAATAAAGGGCTTAATTTTTATAACTAAAGTGTTATTGTATAATTTGTAACTGAAAAGTTATAAATTATACAATACATATGTAAAAAGCCGTATAACAAATCCGCCGCTGTTATTGTCACATATACATTTCTTTGATCGTATACTTATCCAAACCTTTTACAGAAGTAAAAGATTTTGGTATATATATTGATCACCCTAAACCGGAGCTAATAACTCACCCAATAAATGCCCTTTATTGTGGATTGAGAAGAAACTCCGGTGATTTTTCTGTACATTTGACAACAACAGTGGCGGACTTTAAAAAAATTCAGTGATATATAAATTAGATTCTAGATATTAATGTTTATATTAGTTTTATTAAATTATTTGTTTTGTTAATTTTAATCATTATTTACAATTATAAATATTTAACTATATTTTGAAAATATTTTTTTATTAACATATACTATATTATATAAAACATTATATTACATTAAGTAATGTAAGCATGTGTGCTTTTACCAGTTAAATACTAGAAGTACTAAATAATTTCGACCGACTCGATTTTTTATTCTGTTGCAATCCTACTTGATCGAAAATGTTAAATTTTGAAATATTATGAAATTTTATTGATTGTTTTTTTTATTCTAGTAAAAAATTTTATTAAAGTAAGAATTCGAACTTTCAATTTATTTCATTTCGATCTTTAATAAGATCAAAAGTATATTTATTAAAAAAATCGAAACGGTTTAAATTATTTAATACTTCTTGTATAAAGGTCACTTTACACAATTTATAATTTGCAACAGATAAAGAATACAATTATGTTAATAATTTTTTGCATCGTATAATATAGGAAACAATTCATTTATGAATGTATCCACATACATTTATAAATATAATTGTTTTAATTTTTTCTATATACATATATACGATTTTATTCCACATTCTGTTAATTATAAATTGTGTAAAGTGATCTAAAAATTATCATAATATTCTTTATATATTACTTTTGCTTTTCTATTCTCTATCCTTTATATTCTTTATTTTATTTATTCTTTTATATCTATATATCTTGTGTCTATCCTTTTAACTATCTTTTATTCTATCTATTCTATCTATTTCTACCTATCTTCTATCCTATTTACATTAAATATTCATTCAATCATTCATTGGAAAGAAATGTAGAAGTTATTTTCTTTAATATTATATTAAAGAAAATAATCTTTTACATTTCCCCTACTAAGAGAAAGAGAGAGAGAGAGAGAGAGAGAGAGAGAGAGAGAGAGAGA